GCTGTGCTCGCACGCAGAGGGATGGGCCAGGTGGCGCGAAGACCATGTCCGCCACCAGCCACCCCACACCTGAAGTCGGTACTACGTGCGCGTCGCCACCCCCAGGCGCGAGACGCGCACAGAGAAATCTTATGGCGTACACCCCCGTGGCGGGCACTTTCTGGCCACACCGCTCGGGAAATGACATGATACAAGATGTTTGTACGATGTGCTCGGGTGGGACGCACGCCTGCGAGGACACATAGTACGAGTAGGGTCCTATGACATTCGACGATTCCGTCGCGAGGGCGGCGGCGGGATCGTGGATTGGTCTTCGGGGGTACCTCGGCTGGCGGTGGATGTGGAGATCTTCGGGCTCCTCGGGCCCAGATATATCTATATCTAACGCCCCTTGGGCTCCCACTGCCCTGGAAAAGTCATGCAACTCGCGCGCGGTCCATGTCCCCGCGCCCCTCAATTTCACTGTTCGCGCGGGGCGATCAGATTATGCCTCCGTCGGCGGCGGCTGACACTCAACGTGGAGATCTGGGGCCCGGGGGTGGGTGGGCGGGGGGGCATTGACAAACATGCTGCATTATTGTTCCAGGGGCCTAGAGGACATCGTTTCTCCAGCCGGCGGACGTGGAAACATCCACGCAAAGCAGGGGTCAGCCTCGCCTCGTCAGCGCACCGCGCCAAGGGAGGCCCGACGACGCTTTCGGCGCGCGGTGCCTGCCAGCGACGCGTGTCTCCGCTTTGGGGGAGTTGTGAGCGCGGTGCCCCCCCGGCGCTCTCTGTGGATCGTCGAGGAGGAGTCGGGGATCCCCAAACTGCGCGGTGACCAGTCGGCCTCTGCAGTGGGAGTGCCTCGCGTGCCGCCTGTGCGGCGGGAAGGCCCTGGTCATCCTGCCGCGGGCAGCCGCGCTGTTGCTGCTCCGGGCGGCGCGCGCTGTGGGCGCCGACGCCGCGTGGACAAGCCGCTCTGCGGGAGCGCCTGGTTGAGCGGGCCGGGGCGCCCGAGTAATAAGTAATTGCTCGCGCGCGCGGCCATTCCTTGCCCCACCTCCCCCTCCCCGCCTGCGCGTCCTTTCGCTCGTGCCACAGGGCTTCTTTTGTACTTGTTGAGGTTTGGCGAGTCTGTGGGGATTCGGGTCCACCGCACGGTTTTGGGACCAGGGTCGTTTTTGGGGGACGTCTCGGGCGATCGGGGCCTACAGCGTCCCAAGACCGGGCGGTGACGGACTGTGCGGTGAGGTCTCTTGGGATTTTGTGGTCACCGCGCGGTTTTGGGACCCCCCAAATGAGGAGACGAAGATGGAGGAGAAAGGAGGAGCGATGATGAGGAGGAAGGGGTATGAAGATGTTACCGGGGAGATGGAGAG